CCTGCTCAAGAAAGCACGTATACATGCCCGTCTGAAGTTTTCCAACGAACATCTGAATGATTCAGAGGACAACTGGGTGAAAGTGTTGTGGTCAGATGAGACCAAAATGGAGTTCTTTGGCATCAACTCAACTCGCCGTGTTTGGAGGAGGAGGAATGCTGCTTATGACCCCAAGAACACCATCCCCACCGTCAAACATGGAGGTGGAAACATTATGCTTTGGGGGTGTTTTTCTGCTAAGGGGATAGGACAACTTTACCGCATCAAAGGGACGATGGACGGGGCCATGTACCATCAAATCTTGGGTGAGAACCTCCTTCCCTCAGCCAGGGCATTGAAAATGGGTCGTGGATGGGTATTCCAGTATGACAATGACCCAAAATACACGGCCAAGGCAACAAAGGAGTGGCTCAAGAAGAAGCACATTAAGGTCCTGGAGTGGACTAGCCAGTCTCCAGACCTTAATCCCATAGGAAATCTGTGGAGGGAGCTGAAGGTTCGAGTTGCCAAACGTCAGCCTCGAAACCTTAATGACTTGGAGAAGATCTGCAAAGAGGAGTGGGACAAAATCCCTCCTGAGATGTGTGCAAACCTGGTGGCCAACTACAAGAAACGTCTGACCTCTGTGATTGCCAACAATGGTTTTGCCACCAAGTACTAAGTCATGTTTTGCAGAGGGGTCAAATACTTATTTCCCTCATTAAAATGCAAATATATTTATAACATTTTTGACATGCGTTTTTCTGGATTTTGTTGTTGTTATTCTGTCTCTCACCGTTCAAATAAACCTACTATTAACATTATACACTGATCATTTCTTTGTCAGTGGGCAAACGTACAAAATCAGCAGGGGATCAAATACTTTTTTCCCTCACTGTATATATGTAATTCATGTAAATTGAATCTGTTATTAATTATAATGTTGTCATTAATTATGTTATTATTAGTTATCAATTTACTTTTGTACTTCAACAGTTGACTTACAAGTGGTCCTGACCCACTCGTAACTTTTCTCCAAACCTAAGAGCGATTGCAAATATCCAATTCTAGATTTGAAGCTTTCGTGACTGCTAGGATCCATACTCTTTGGTTCTATTGGGTAAAGTCACGTAGGTGAAAATAAAATAACAAAAAATCACGATGTTTCGGCCACTTGTGTTGTGGCCGAAACGTCGTGATTTTTTGTTGTTTTATTTTCACCTACGTGACTTTACCCAATAGAACCAAAGAGTATAAATATCCAATCCTTTATGGAGGCCGAATTACACGATATCTGAGCTTTTGCAATTTTAATACTTAATTTACGCAATTCAAATAATGGCGTAAATTTATGCAAATAATTACGTACTGTAAATCATTCGGCACTCAGGACTCTGGACTTTAGCAAACAAGCCAGATTAAAGCAGCTTCTGACCCTCGAGTATAGATGGACGTGGAGGATGCTCGGAATTTCTCGGTGGGATATTGATGCTCAAACTGTCTTTGTGTCCTCATGAGTCAACCATGTATGATTGTCTAATGCTACGTGCACATCACTGCCACCACAGTCTCTTAATATATAATCAGCAGTGGTTGTTTTGGGCATCGGGTTCTTTGAGCCTCATTTGCGATTGATGAAAAAAAATACTTGACAGGATGTTTATCAGTGCTTGTTCAGGTTGTGTAGGGTTCAATGCTCATTTCCCATAATCCTCCAATGAGTTTACCAACGTTTACCAAAGTGTACCATCCACTCTTCATGTGGACATTAAAGACCTTGTGGCATTTTCATTCCTACAAATCAATCTGTGGCAGTGCCACCAATCAAATACTCCTACCACATATATAAACGGCTTCAAAAAATGATTTGCGAAATTCTTCTATGTGAAAAATATTTACTCCCTACAGCCACCTCGGTCTCCCTCGATCGAGAGAATGAATCTTCATTGACCTTCAACCAGGTTAAATGCAGGACATCAATAAATGAAACGCTGGGTAAATAGAATTCACTTCGTAAACGGAGATCCGATCAAATTGCACGTAGTATATGATGTTCCACATTCTGTAATGCACTATGATGTGACCAATTCACAGCTTGCTCCGTAGAACTAAACTAAGGGAGCACGTGCTGAGATATGATATTATATTCTCGATGTAAAAAAAACGTTGCTCTTTTCTTCGCCAGCCGCAGCTCTGAATATTAACAATCGGCTGCATGCACAATTCATTTCTGTAATTGTTGCTGCCTTTTCCTTAGTGTCTAAATTGTCCGGTTAAATATCCATAATGTGCATCAGCATTACCATTTTGGTGTCAGGTTTTATTTTTATTACGCAATAAAAATGAACACGCTGGTAAAAAATGAAATTGTGATTTGCGGGAAGCCATTAGGCGCGTCTAACACATTTGGCTTAAATACAGTTAACATTTCAAAAGTGTATATAAAATATGCCTCAATTCATTAGTAATTGTGTTAGAATGTCAACTCCTTGTCATAAACTTTCTCCTCTTAAGTCTCTCACTGGGAGAAACCCATAAAGCATACCAGACCTTTGAAATATGCATTACTTTTTATTAATACATCGCCGCCCCCTCCCCCCCCTCAAGTTATAACCACAGTGCAACGGGACTCCCGGCTGATAGAGATCAAAGATGAAGCATGTGTAATGTCATTTTTTATTTGAAGTGTTTACAAAATTCGAGTGATTTTTTTCCTTCCTCCCAATGAATGCCAATCCTCATATGCACTGTACCTGCAGTGCATGCGTGCAGAACGTTATTTTCGGTACAAATATCAAATTAATGCATTTGTGTATATTTTGGGTTTATTATTTTGAATTTAGAGATAATACATTTGGAATAAATGCAAATCGTACGCACATATTTATTGCAATTAGCACAAGCAACTGTAATATTATTCCTGTGTTCAAGCACAATTACTGGGAACTGAAAGGTGATTTTGCATGTTAAGCACAACCCTTCCAGTGTGGTTATTATCACAGCGATGGCGTGAAGAAGCGGGTGTGACGGGATGGCTGAGGCAGTTAAGCATTTGCTGTGTATCAAAATCAATGTTTAGCTGTTGATAAATATGATTGCAGGGATCTTCGTTCGCAATTCAAAATTTGCTTCCTCACATCGCCAGAGGTTGACTTAACGTGTCATATTTCCATGGCTGATAACGCAGGTTTATCTCTTTGGGAATTTTCTCCAACAAAGTTTGAGACACTTGGGCCCCCGATTGATTCATGCAGTGTTTTAATTTCACCCTGAATTCGCGGAATTGGCCAGAAATTCCACAGACGTGATTACGCCACGCATATTGAACAGGAGTTTGGTTCGATTCACCATGGAATGCAATTCCGCACAAAAACCTTTGCAGCCAATCAGTAAGCAAAAGCAATGCTGATGGGGATCGGGGCCAAGCGTGCTGACATCGGCATGGGCGGCTGTCACGACAGACTGAGCCGGCCAATCAGTGGCTACGTCTGTTGCACACACACACACAACACTCGTTGTGTGTGTGTGTAATAGCTGCTCTGCCTTCCGCAGACGGTGTGAGATTTTAAGCCATAAGCCCAAAGATGACGTTGTGCCACTTAAAAATAACAACTGCAATTATGATGGAAATTACATTGAAGATTACGACAATGATAATGGTAATTATTGTAATGCGAATTATGCTGATGACAGATAAGGATAAGAGATGATTAATATAATTAGGGTGACATTAATTGCTGATGACGATGCATACGACAGTAGTGAGTGATAAAAATTATGGTTATGATAGTGATTGCTATGATGGGAATAATGGTGATTATGCTCATGATGATAATGATGGTGAAACTAATGATGAGGAATGTGAAATTATATTCATACCATAAACGAATCATATAATGATTACACTTTTGATGTTGCTGAAACCGAGGATCCACGAGCCCCCAATCCAATCCACCCCAGTCCGCCAACCCCCGGAGAATGGGAAGTGCACCAATGGTGTGTGCACACTGCACCAGGGAAATTAGCGTCGCTTTGCTTTAAACACATTCCTGCGGAAGGAGCTGGTAGGAACGTTGGGTTGCTCGGTCAATGGCCAGGGTCAACGGCGGCGTGGTGTATTCCGCAAATATGCCCGACTGTGAGGGCGGGCACAAGCCGGTGTGAGTAGGTTAAACGTTGAGTTTTATAAGGGCACCACGGGGTGACCAGCCCCTACCCACCCAGCTCCACCCCTCTCACCCCCCACCCAGCCCCACCCTCCCCACCCAGCCCCTCCCCACCTTCCCCACCCAGCCCCTCCCCACCCTCCCCTCCCCACCCAGCCCCTCCCCACCCTCCCCTCCCCACCCAGCCCCTCCCTCCCCACCCAGCCCCTCCCCACCCTCCCCTCTCCACCCAGCCCCACCCCGCCCATTTTTGGAGGCACGACGGACGGACGGACACAACAATCCCCTGTGGGCTGCTGGTGTAACCAGGAGGTTCCTACCAGTATAAATGCACCGCCTCAATGTGAGTGTGGAATGTGTGACTGGGGCTGGCAAAACAGGAGATGACCGGCTACCCGTACGTGTTTGGTCGGTAAAAGGTCAAGGTGTAGTCCTGCAATTACTTGTGCACTCCACTGCTGGCCAAAGGCACTCCACTAGAAGGAGCTCCGGAAAGCCCCTCTAGACGGTGTTTTGGCCTACTCTTCCAGGCTGAACAGATGTCTCGGCAGAGGTGGGAGTAGCCACACTTGGCCCCCACCACCGTACGCGACCTGCCGATCGACTGTTCTGTGGTTGTACGCATTTTACACGGGCCGGTAGACAGAGGACGGCGGCGTGGGGGAGTTGAAGAAACAAGCCCAGTGTTTCTCAACTGTCGCGCCCGCGGGAGATTGCATTGGCGACCGCTGCTTTTCCAAAAGTTCGGCGCCGCTGACCATATCAACGCCCTGCGGCGACGTCCCTCGCCCCATTGGAGAGCGTTTTCGAGTCTTCATTTTTTTTTTTGCCTCCCCCCGTGCGATGCGCTTGCAGACGGCCGTGACGGTGGAGGTGCGCATGCAGGAGGGCTCGTGGAGCGACGGAGACCTCCTGCAGTTCGACAGCCGGGGCCTCGAGGACGAGGGGCTGCTCGCCAACCCGGCCAACAATGCGGGCCGCAAGCGGTGAGGACACCGTCAACTAAACTAACTTTTTTTTTTTTAGCAGGTAAGGCCCCACTGAGGTACGTAGCTCCTTTTTCAGAAGAGACCCTGGCTACCACAGATGAGAGCTCAACGAAGTGCCTTAGCATCATGTTGAAATGTACAGTAGTCAAATACTTCTAAACGGAAAAAACCGAAGGACTCGGAGAAAAATCCACGCGACCACGCAAACTCCAAATATACAGACGTCAGGGTCAGGATCGAACCCACGACTTCCTGCCTACCAGCAACGTATATAACATCTTACCGCCACGGCACCCCCTGCGTCTTCTAGCGAAGTGTGGCACTGCACATAATAAATATGTCGTTTTGACCCTTTTGCCAATCCACTGCTGGATGAATGGTATTCTACGCCTTTTGGTCTTTGAGGTTGTTTGACCATACTTGGCCACACTGCTCAATGCAGGTTGGTGAAATGTGGTACCAACAACCGGTTCAGGTATGGCTCATCGCTGATATTGGATGTGACCAGGGTTAAAATTCAGGTGACCGCATCAATAGTGCAATCCACTAACCACTGCCACCGCTCCCCCACACCATACATATATACGACATTGTATATAGAGTGGGAGAGAAGGGTTTGAATGGCACACCATAGAATGTGTAACGACTCAATGCCCGATTATCACAGCGATGATACACTCCACTACTCTTGATGCAGTAATCTGGCTCAACCACCTCAATGTAAAAATTACAGCCGTTGCTCTTCATCAACATTGCCACACGACGGACAACAGTGGGTGGGAGTGCACACATCATTGGCATTTGGTATGTGAACGTGGCCCGAAACTCTGGTCGACTCAGCCTAAAACGAGTCCATGGTTATGGGGAGCTAACGCGACCACAGCGTAGACCACATTACCATGCTGCTGACTCAGGGTTCCCGCCTATTCCCTATGTGTACCGTCCAGTGTTCGGGTGGTGGGAATCGATTTGTACCGAGATCTGCTGGGATCGCGTTGAACCTTATTACAGTAAAAGTCTGCACAGCGTTGGCAGACCTAGGAGGCTAATAGAGGCACCGTGTGTGTGTGTGTGTATTGGATTGGCCTGTGGGAGAGTTGGCAACTCTATGCTGACCCCCCCCCCCCCAATCATATCTGTTTCGATAGGTGCCCTCAGAGTTTAAAAGTGAAAGCACGTTCAATCTTGATTTGAAGCTTTCGTGACTGCAGGAATCCATACTCTTTGGTTAGATCACGACGTTTCGATCGCAACGCAAGCAACCGTCATCAGGTGTGAAACGAACACAGCTGCTGTGTTCGTTTCACACCTGATGACATCAGCAGTCCTCCTGCTGTGTTCGTTTCACACCTGATGACGTCAGCAGTCCTCCTGCTGTGTTTGTTTCACACCTGATGACGGTTGCTCGTGTTGTGATCGAAACGTCGTGATCTATTATTTTTTCTACCTACGTGACTTTACCGAAGGAACCAAAGAGTTCTGATTAGCGCGGTTGGCTACGTACGGTGGGAAAGAAGTTCAAGATACATACATACATACAACTAATCGTGAGTGCAGTTGTCGAGAATATGAATAACAACATAAATTAAGCAGGCAGTACGTCTCCTTCATATTTCCGTCTCTACACGTAAAAAGTTAAGGTATTTCTTACTTGAGCCATCAGCTGCACTGCCTTCTAGGAGTGTGCATAATTTCAGCAGCATTGAGTCAAATACCTGCAAACTCTGGTCCGGTTTAAACCTACAGTTGTCTCATCAGCAGTCAGGCTTACTTGCATCGATGTTGCTGCAAGCCTGACTGCTGATGAGAAACTTCCCTTTGTGTATTTATTTATACTACTATGGTGAATCAACTCACACACCTGAGGGACATTCATCATACAGCACGTGATTTAAATAATCGTGAAATTACCATATTTCATTTATATGTACAGGTAATTAGTATCGAACACATTTCATTACCACTCAAAAACTTGGTAAGAATTAAACGAAATAATTGCAATGTAATTTTTAGTTTTTTACTAAGCACCACTGCTATATAATTTAAGTCTGGGTCTGGTTCCCCCATCACCCACCCACACTGACAAGAGTGGTGAAGTATGGTTAAATAGGGTCCATAGGTTCAAATATGCGGGAAGACCTTCATTGACAAAGGGATTTCAATAATGTGCACTTGATACCAAGTTAGCGTTATGTTGTATGAAATGCAATATCCTATAATAATACAGTGTCCAAACTTTGTATAAATGCATTCCAAGACAAAGTACAATATGTGGTCAAAACGGTGGAAACAATTGTAAACACAATTGAGTTGGCACAGCGAAACCCACCGGCTTGAGGTCACTGCCAATCTAAGATGTTTAGATTGAGGTCAGCCAACATATGCATCATCTCAGCATCTCATCACCCCTTAACCACTTTCCTTAATGCGCATTCTCGAAAAAATAAAGTGGTTAAACATCCAAATGCAGGAGCCTCTTCAAAGATGTCTCAAGTCTCGGTGAGGCTTTGTCTACTAAAAGCTGTGAGGAAGCATTCCCATGGTGTCCTTATTGGGACAGTGTAAACCGTCATTACAACGCTGTTATTTTTAAACATCTACGCTCAAAATAATGTGGAATGATGCTCATCTCTGTTTATTAGCCAGTCGTTAAATTGTACACCACTGCAGCAGGAAGCATTGTTCCTCTATTGAACAACAATTTTTACATGCCCTGAAGAGGTCACCGTTAAAATGGAAACGAGCCTGAAAGACAACGCAGAACTATGGTGACACGTGCTTAGATCAGCACTGAGCGACAGAAAGAAGCACGTGTATCAGGGTACAGATGCGAGTCAGAGACATACATTGTGAGTAGCTTTGGGCTTTGATACCATGGACTAGAAGAAGGGATGAGGAGTGATGTATGTTTGTTGAACTTCTTCCGTACCGTATGTAGCCAACCGTGCTAATTGGAGGTCCGGGGGAAGGACAACAAACTAAACACAAAAAGCAGTTTTAATGAAATTACTTTTCAATCTATATTTAAAAGCGCATACCTCCAGTGGCGTCATAATATCAGAAGGAAGAGCGTTCCAGACGGCCGCAGAAGCAAATCTGAAAGCGCGCGATGCGGTGACCGTCTTTGTTCGACTACTCGCCAAAGGCCACTGCGAGGATAATCGGAGTTTGCGTGATGGTCTATGCTCCTTGACGAGATCAGTGATGGACAATGCTTGTGAAGTAATGGCAGCTAAAAGAGGGATACACACCCAGGAAGGGTGACCACTGAGGAGATTGAGCAATAAAATCAATGTGTGGTGCCGGAGTGAGATTTACTGCGGTATTGCAGGACCGTAAGTGACATTGACTGGAATGGAAGGCCTTCATCCAGCAGTGGATAGACAATGGCTGCTGTTGTTTGATGATGATGATGATGCAGTATTGATGATGATTTAAGCGAGAAAGCTCCCAATTGTAAATTGTGTTTTCTAACTGTGGTGGCTGGTCGGCTGGCTGGTTGCTGTCATCATGAGCTGATGATGCAAAGGCAATGCGATTCAACACTGACAAAGTTTTTCGCTTCAACAGGCTTCCTGCAGAAAAGCATAAACTATTTTACGAATGTGTGCGTATGTGCTTCTAAAACCACCTTAACTCTCAGCAAATTGTTACGTCTGCACTGCAGGCTATGGAGCGATCCCGTTCTATTATTTCCTGACCTTGGCAGTCTCTCCTAAAAGATGTTGTGAGCACAAACGCCCATTCACGAGCTATTCTCTTTGAGCCGTTTGTACTCAGAAACGTCCTGTGTGGACTGTTATGCAACTTGACATTTGATGCATGCTTCTATAATTTTACAGAAACGCGTAAGAAAAATGAATGCAGAATCGTTGACATCAAACTGTTGCCTTACACGTCACCTAACTTTATTATCCTTATTAAATAATGATTTGCCAAACTATTAAATGCGTTATTCCGAACTACGATATAGTTTTTGCAACAAACGCAAAACTATTTTTTCCTTTGGTTTTTGTACCGCCTTGAGGTCATTTGGAAGAGCGATTCAGCAAAGTTATCCATTGATGTAGTGTGGTTAATGTATTTAAAGAAAGGCTGTTGATAATATATCTTGTGTAGGCCATTAAGTATCGATTATTATTTTACTTGCTTAAACGTATCTATTACTCTGCTGCTCCTGCTAACGCGATACCGCTGCCTAAACACGTAAATCACCAAAGTCGTCTTCCAATATTTCCCAACATCGCTTAATCCCATGGTGCAGTGCCCTGTCCAACCTTCATGGCCTACGTGACGTCCTCGTGGATTTCAGAGCGCTGCTGCTCCATCGACGTTGTGTAACTTTGCACGCCATACATTATTCACCGTGCCGCTCTCAAAAAAATGAGTCACACGCAACGCTCTTTGAAATATGAAGGAGGATGTTTTACTTTGAAGTCGCTGGCCGCATGAGCAGTGGCTGGCCCGCACCTCCTCCCAGCCTGATTGAACAACTCCTCGCTTGTCCTGCTCGTTTGCAGAACCGCAGAGGAGGAGGGGGGCAGCTGCTACAATAGCGACGAAGACGCCAACTCAAGGTAACGACAACTCAAAAGCTGACAGTCACCATCTTAACACGTAGGAAGCTTTCGCGACCAATATTATCCATAATAGAGGCTTTTGGGTTAGATAAATGTGTCGTTAAACCCGCCACCACCCGACACAGCCAAATAGTAAGGTTTGTCAAGTAGACAAAACATGGCAATTCGATACTTGTACACCACACAGGTGTGTTGCAGAGTAACGAATTGTCATGTTTTGTTGACGTGACGACTCTTACTATTTGGCTGTGTCGGGTGGTGGCGAGTTTGACGACGAATGTATATTACGCGATCTAACCCGACAACCTCTATTTTGGAGTCACCATCGTGCAGGAGTCGCAAAGTATTTTGCTCAACTCGCTATATGCGGAACAGGAAAATCAAAGTGTATTTTTAACAACAGGAAAAAATATATTTAGACCAGAATTATTATTTTTTTTTACAATATGCACATTTCAATAAAACCACGAATAATGTTTTCCCAACGACAGCTTCCTGAAATATTTGTCATTTTATACTAACGTATGTATTATGTAACCATTGTAATGTATGACTGCGGTGACACTTGGAGCCGTGCATCATCAATAAGGCATTTCATATCAACTGTGTGTCCTGGAAGCAAAACGAGACTAATATAGAGTGGACAAAAGCGCATTTCCAATACTTCCATGTGTACTACGGTTTAATATTGGTTTGAACATGGAAATGGGTTTCTTCTTCACCAAAATCTATATGTACATCTGGAAGCCCATACACGTCAAAACATCCCACGGAAGTAAAGTATTGTTAAAATATAGTTGCATCTCGTTCAGAATGGGTGGTTAACTTATCAGTAAATGTAACAAACCCTATCACATGTGTGGGATGTATTTTCAAAATGTTATATACATGTCCATGCATTACTCACAGCTATACGTAAATGTCCTAGAATGAGGATCCTCAAAAGAAATGCCGTTCATGTCACTGATACAGCACTGGATTGTGATGTAACATAAAACTTTAATTAAAACCCTGCCTTTGAACACCAAATGTTCATAACATAATATTAATTTACATTTATGATTTATAAGACTTGCGTGGATAATGCAATTATACATGTTATTTCTGACAGAGACTGATGGGTATTCATAGCATCTATTTAAACTTTTTACATGCTGTATATATGTAAATTTCATGTTGTGTAGAAGTCTATTCTGTTAGGTCCAGCTGGGTCATGCATGAGGCACGGAGAAAATCCATGGGTGACAAGCACATCAGTGCGTTCTGACCATGACCATTGGAATCATGGCACCTGCCAAAATTCACCGAGTTCAGTAACGTTGTATGCATGTCGAACTTCTTTCGCACCCTACGTAGCCAACCGTGTGTATCGGAGGCGCGGGGGAAGGACAACAAACAAAACACACACCAACGTTTGGCCCTCTCTACACAGAGGTTATCATTATTAATGCTCAAGCGCCACAACACCCTTCACAAATGGGACAGCTTCTGTCAAGGCTGTGGAGTGTAGCAGCGATGTAACAATGCTATTCAGGTCGAACGGTCACGTAACGGGACTTGCGAGCCAGCGTATGAATTGCGTAATCGCACGGTGAGTCGCCGCCACGGGAGAGAAACGTGTAAATGAATGCAAGCAAGGAGTCAGCCTGAACGAGGGCGAAGTGACATCTTCCAACTGGATTTAGCCACAAGTTAATTAACTTCTTCGTGTATCCCACAGGTTTTGAAAATACATTTAAATATTGACTGGGCATCCAATTCTTTGTTGGGAAATAGGTTCAACTTTCATATTTCGATTTTATCATTTTATTCATATAAATCTGTTATATGTGCTCAAGGAAAGAGTAACCTGTTAACCCCTACCATATAATACTTGCATGGTAAAGCCTCATGATGCATTACGTTTGAATTTTGCTCACACCTGAGGTATTTGAAAACTGCGACTTTATTTTAAGGCATATTTTGGTGACGTGGTCAAGTGTGGTGGTGCGTTTGCATTTTTTTGCAGATTTTTGCAGTTCAAACCCACGGACGTCGTGGTTATTACTGCCAAAGACATGCGCTGTCTGCCTCACAGCACAAGTCAAAGATTCCACGACATTATTTATTTGGCATCGCGGTCCAAATTTGCCAAATTATAAAATATATATACTAAATTGGAACAACTTATAGCAACACCGCCTCCTACGGAAAGGCTCGTGTTCACTTGCAGGCCGGTGCTGTGACACCTTGTGCTGCACAGGGACAGTTAACGTTAGTGGGTCCCCTTGACATAAATAGGGTAAAAACTACAGCCAGACATTGACATGATTGAGGATTGTATGCAGGGCACTTTGAAATGATGGAGCATTTAAGTACCCACTAAAGTGCACATTTTTATCCAGTATTCCTGATATTACTCTACGTATGAAAAATGGTACTTGATTTGTTTACCATTCCCATTAATAATTAAATTATATATAGACATTATAGGATATATTTGCCTCTACCTATTTGTCTTTTGTCAACGTGACACTTTTTTGCTGATTGGCCGTGTCGGGTGGTTGGAGGGTTACGACACATTTATGAATAACGCGATCTAACCCAAAAAGCTTTATTATGAATTATAGGATATATTTGCCTCTACCTCTCTGACCTAAACATGTTGTTGTTGTTCGGAAAAATGGAAGGAACCGGAAAGAGAGGAAGACCTAACACAAAGAAAGTGGCTTTACGACAACATAAGAGATCAGTGCCAGAAAGATGTTGCACTATTTTAGCATATTGGCACAAGACAGAGGAAAGTGGAAATTAATGACGAAATGTGCAGTGGACACCTACGGGCTATCTGCCCATGGGTCGTGATGATGACCTCTCTGACCTCTCTGTGCTGTGAAGGGACATTGGCCAAATAAATGCCTGTTACATACTTTTTTTAAGGCGACAGTGTTATCCATGAATGTGTTGAGTTGTATTTGTTATTTGTGCTTGCCAACACAGCATCACCAAATAATTTGACATAGCTATTAAGTAAAAAAAGACCAAGCATGGTTACACAACTTAAAATACCAAGGGAAGCGGAGGTGCACGGATGAAGAAACAATCTTTATGCTGTACACATGTGACATCTGCCTTCAGATTCACATTTAGATCTCTCAGTAAGAACGTGGTATTTTGGTGATGTCTAATTTAAAATGAGCGAATTCAACTCCCTAAAAAGTACAACGTGTAAAGACTCTAACCGACTGTGAATGTGACGGCTTCATTGACTATTAGTTACAGCTGTGAGGACCATTCGCAAGAAGAGGATGACAAGGGAGCTCTCGGGTAAATGTAACATCCCTGCACTCGGACACACAAGACACACTTGGACACGCACAGGACACACCAGAGGATGCACGAGATATACTCGGAAACACAAGGACACGCACATGGACATACTCGGACACACTTGGATATGCACAAGACACACACATAACACACGCGACATACACAGACACACACGCGACATGCACAGACACACACGGACACACACGGAAACACACGGACACACTCGGGCACACACGGACACACTCGGGCACACAAGACACACACAATACACACACGGACAAACACGCAAAAAACACACACAGACACACACGGACACACACACACGGACACACACACACACGGACACACACAGACACACACAGATACACACACGGACACACACAGACACACACAGACACACACACACGGACAAACACAGACACACACAGACACACGGACACACACGGACACACACACGCGACACACAACAACAACCGCCATTCACCACTAAGTGGCAGTGACGTCACCACGACGCTTGTGCCAGGCTATGTGCACCCTGAGGCCACGTGAAGTGTCGAACGCCCGCTGGCAGGTCTCGGGGCAGACCCAGGTGCCACGGGTCGACTGAGATGACTGGCTGATGCACCACCTGTGCCCCCTACTGTGCCAACCTGCTGTGCTTTAACCACCCGGCGCTCCGCTCGTTGTTGTGAGCGTCGCTCCTCCGCCCTCCGTTGTTGTTGGAGGGCGACTACCTCCAACTGCCCAGTAGCGTCTTTCACGAGCCTCCTCCACAGAGGCCGATCTTGACACTGCTGGTACCAGTCATCGGCAAGTCCACTCAGCTCCACGTCCTCCTGTACCACATCACTCCATCTCTTCTCTAGCCCGTGCTGCGCTCATTTAGCCCTCTCAATCCGGCCGAACAAAAGCTGTTTCGGCATGCGGTGGCTGGGCATGCGGGCTACATGACCCAGCCATCGCAGCCTTGCCCGCCGGAGGAGCTCACCGATGGGACCTTGCCCAGATTTTTCAAGGATTTGTGAGCTCCTCACACAATCCAGTCTGGTTAAACCCAGGATGGATCGTAGGCAGGCCAGCCTAAATGTCTCTAACCGGCGAAGATGTTCCATTAGGGGGGTCCACGTTTCGCAAGCGTAGAGAAGGGAGGGAATGACCGTGGCCAAGAAGACCTGAAGCTTAGTGCGGAGCGACAGACTAGGTAGCTTCCACACAGCGTTACGCAACCGATGAAAAGATATTGCCGCTCGACTGATTCGGAGTGAGACCTCTGCTGTTAAACTGGAGCCGGTCATAAGCACACTGCCCAGGTATGGGAAACTCTCCACTCGCTCCACAAGTGCCCCATCACCGATTGGGAGTTGTGGGGGTGGAGTGTCCGATGGTACAAAATACCCAGGCAGGTGCTTAGTTTTGGTGGGGCTGATGGTAAGGCCCCACCTCTTAGTGGCACGCTCCAGTCTCAGCAGCAGCGTCTCCAACTGCTCCTCTGAATGAGCAGCTATTACCAAATCATCAGCATACATAACGTGGTTGAGCAATAGGGAGCCATCCCTTGACCGCACCCGGGCATCGATCAGCCTCCCATTATATCTGTACCATATGGAGATTCCCCCGGTACAGCTATTGAAGGCTTCACGAACTACGTAGTCAAATTATATGTTAAATAATGTGGGAGCCAGAGGACATCCCTGTCGCACCCCAAGGTGTACAGGGAATGGCTCTGACTCCCGGCCACGTAGTTTTACCCGGGCCCGCTCACCACCATGAAGGTCCTTAATGATCGTGAGCAGAGGGTCAGGTACTCCAAAAGCACGAAGAACAACCCAGAGCCCAGGCCTACTGATGGTATCATAGGCCTTGACCAGGTCAATAAAGCAGAGATGTAGGTCTTGTTGGAATTACCTACACCTCTGCGGTAGCAGACGGACAGAAAATATGGCATCTGTGCAGGACCGCCCTTTCCTGAAACCGCATTGGGGCTCCGCAAGCCTCTCCTCAACGTGCCTGGCAAGGCGATGTTGAATAATCCTTTCCAGGACCTTTCCCGGCACACTGAGGAGTGAGATGCCCCTGTAGTTGTTACAGTCTGTGCGGTCCCCCTTCTTAAAAAGGGGGACCACCAGGGCATCCTTCCAATCCTGCGGAACCCGTCCAGTGGTCCAGACTGTTGTTATGATGTCATATAGGGCAGTCTGTGCACAAACGCCACCCTCCCTCAGCATTTCGCTTGGGAGATCATCTCTGCCCGCTGCCTTTCCTGGTCTCAGACTCCGGATCGCCTTCAGTACTTCCTCAACAGATGGCACCTCAGCCAGCCATTCACAGGGGGTGACTTCCAATATTTGAGGCACGCGACACACACACAGACACACACACGCACGGACACACACACACAGACACACGGACACACACAGACACACACACACAGACACACACAATACACACACGGACACACACACAGACACACACGGACACACACAGACACACACGGACACACACACGGACACACGGACACACACAGACACACACAATACACACACGGACACACAGACACACACGGACACACACGTACACACACACCACACAGACACACACACAGACACACACGGACACACACACGGACACACGGACACACACAGACACACACACAGACACACACACGGAAACACACAGACACACACACACAGACACACACGGAAACACACAGACACACACACACGGACACACACACATACACACACACAGACACACACACACGGACACACACACACACAATACACACACACAGACACACACAGACACACACACACACACGGAAACACACAGACACACACACACAGACACACACATACACACACAGACACACAATACACACACCACACAGACACACACACAGACACACACAGACACACACACACAGACACACACAGACACACACACATACACACACACGGACACACACACAATACACACACACACAATACACACACACAGACACACACAGACACACACAGACACACACACAGACACACACACACGGACACACACACAGACACACACACGGAAACACACAGACACACACACGGACACACACACAATACACACACACAATACACACACACAGACACACACAGACACACACAGACACACACACACGGACACACACACAGACACACACACGGAAACACACGGACACACACACAATACACACACACAATACACACACACAGACACACACAGACACACACAGACACACACAATACACACACACAGACACACACACACAGACACACACACGGATACACACACACAATACACACACACAGACACACACAGACACACACAGACACAATACACACAGACAGACACACACAGACACACACGGACACACACACACAGACACACAATACACACACACAGACACACACGTACACACAGACACACACACACAGACACACACACACGGACACACACACACAATACACACACACAGACACACACACGGAAACACACAGACACACACACACACAGACACACACAGACACACACACACGGACACACACACACAATACACACACACAGACACACACACAGACACACACGGACACACACACACGGACACACACACACGGACACACACACACGGACACACACACACGGACACACACACACGGACACACACATACACACACAGACACACACAGACACACACAGACACACACACACAGACACACACACAGACACACACACAGACACACACACACGGACACACACATACACACACAGACACACACAGACACACACACACAGACACACACAGACACACACAGACACACACACACAGACACACACACAGACACACACACACAGACACACACAGACACACACACACGGACACTCTCCGCCGTTCACGCCGCGACACTCGATCCCCCCTTGCAGTGTTGCCACGTACCAACGCACATTCCTGTTGTCATTTTAGCATCACATAACGAGCAGCAAAACACGTTTTATCCTTCTCACATCTATAAATACATTATTTACGTGCAAATTGGCTTTACTCATTATTTTATCATCAAAATGAGAACCGCCTTGAACATCTTGAGTTTGAGTTTAGATGATGTTAAAAAAAAAAATCCAAAGCATTCTTTCGCTTTCCTTGTTTGCAGCCTGCAGTTGAAAGTGTATCTTTGAAATGAAACGAGAAACGTCGTACATCCTCCAACGGAAATCATACACGTACAATTCCCCCCATTTAATTTGCATAACAAAGATCTGGCATTCAATTATAAAGGAGGTGACGTCGGTATTGGATGTCTTATGCGAAGGAGGCGGGGAGGAGGGTGTCTCAAATTATGTGCAGGCCTAGGTGGAAAGAAAGAACAAGGAGAAACAAAGGTTTATTTCATAGAGGAAATACATCTGTTTGGCTCAGATTACCATCATATATTCATGCAAACACCGATGTCAGATATTTTTGGACAGAGTTCAACAGCATTCAGGAATGCAATTTTACAACGTATTATTTTAAAGAAGTAAAAAAAATTGAAATACATTTCACGTGAAGAACATGAATGCTGTACGTGGAAAATTATGGTGTTAGCCGGTGCCTATTTTGGAATGTTAGATATTTTGTACATTCTGAATTTTAATCACAAAAAAGTGAGCGGTACTTTTGGCCAGACATACAATTGAAAGTACAATTTTTTCATAAAATCATTGCTCCTTGTCACATGAGCTTGCTGCGCGCATTCATTTTCGGCGCAGTCGCGGGTGCGCTGGCTTAGCGCTGCAGTGCTTAGCGGAGGGGTTCTGTGGAAAGGTACACGCATGGTTAATGCATGTGCAGCACGGTGCCAGCAGCCGACGGTGCAGACAATAGGCTCCAACTTAACCCGGTGGCATGCAACAATTTACGCCTCCAGTGATTCGATGCATTCTCGTGACTCTCTATTTGATTAACAACATTTATTTAATTATGTAATATTTTCAATTCCATTTGTTTTACTTCGTCATCATCTCTCGTGCGTGGTTTGCTCCATCAGTTTTATTGTAAAATTATAATTTAATCAGCAATGATTCAATGCATGTAATCTTGAATGTTAGAATTAATAAAACATTTCTTGAATTGATGCATCTTTACACGCACACTTGTAGATAATTTTTTTGTTTTCTCTCCTGATATGCACGTGGTTTCTCTGATCTGTTTTGGCATCCTCCCACACAAATAACAAAAAGGGCGAATTGGCAAAACTGCCAAAAGCAGAATCTTGCTTACAAACTCATTGAACAATCTGACAACTTCTGGGGAATATATCAAATAATTCCTGAATCATGGGGAACAAAATCAATCCCTGCCTACATCCATTTTGTCTTCCCCTGTACATTAAGCAGTCCTTAACCTCCTTCCATTCCCCTCTCACAGCCTCACCTCTTCTCTATTGCTCATTCCATTCCTCTTCCCTCCCCTCGCCCCTCCACTCCTTCTAATCCCTTCCCTGCCCTTTCTTGACCCCCGTGTGCCCTCTGTTGCGGTCACGCTTTCGTCAACCCGTGTGCACCCCTGCCATCTAGATCACTCTGTTTCTGCTTTTTAAGCGCCTCGAGTTAAGGCGCTCTGCATATATATAAAATAGGATTTTGAGCCTCATTTGAGGAAACTGCTTATTTCGTTTCACGTAACATGTATGTTTTTTATTTGATTGCTTGATTCAATAATACATATCTTGGTTGTGTTTTTTTTAATTGGCCATAAATACAAGTATAAAAATATCAAAGGTGCAAAGACAGTAATGGAGGAAGAGTCCACGTGGGAAACAGACTGCGGCACGGGATGCTCCAGCGTGCTCTCTGTCTGTGTGCTGCAAGGATAACGCCCCTGACTCCCACACCGATCTGGCAACAATATTCCACGTGGAACCCGCTTACACTTTAGAAACTGTTGTACTGAATTGTTTTACGGTAATTTTTCTGTTGGGTATCCTATGACCATGTATTATATAAAGAATAATATTCATTTCTGGTCAAATACAGAGTGCTTCATAAAGATGGACCCGATTTCAAATCGCTATATCTCTGAAATTGAGTCCATCCTTTTCAAACACCCTGTATATACATGCAAATGTGTGTGTGTGTTTTTTTTTGTCATAAACCAAAACTCGAAAGTAATGTCGACATTTGTTTTGGCACACACAGCAAACTCGCCGGACTAAAGACCAAGGATGGTTACCGAGCATTGTCGAGGTATGTTTACTGCGCACGTGCCGTGTCAACAGAACGTATTCATACTAAGCAATTAATCTAAGGTAAGGTCTGGATGCCATTGCTCAGCAAGGCACCGGATACTGGAGTCTCACGGCAAGCTGTGTCACGGAGGATACATGCAGTGCAAATGTGGTTTGCAGTACATTTTTTTTATTTAGAGTACACTGTTTGCTTGCAAAGTGAATCCACATCCGCAGCGAATGACGCAATTTGCAGGGGACTTGATTAACGGTGGTGGAGTCAGTGAGTGCACCGGCTGCCCATGGTGCAAAGAACGCTTCACGAATTTGCGTGTCATCCTGCAAAGAGAGCCCACAGGATTAATACTTCACGTTATTTATTTGCTTTGTCATTATCTGGCACGGATTAGCAGGGTTGGTTACGTACAGTGCGAAAGAAACTCGACGTATTACATTCAACTTCATAAACAAACAAAAAAAATACGATTCTATTGAGTTAATATTCGGACCCATATGCCTTGGCCATGGAGGGAGGGTAGGGAGGGGCACGGGGAATGGAGCGTTGTGGAGCCAAGATCACGATTCGCTGTGGGGGGTGCGAATCGAGGGCCTGGTGCCATCTCTGGGATGATGAGGCCTGTCATGGAAACGAGGCATCTGTCCCCACCGTGGCCCACTTTGTCCTACCCGTGCTGCTGCAGCGCTGGTAGGGTGCTCGAGAGCTCATCGATGATAGCGTGCAGGGCATCATTTAGCCAGGCTGACCGTGGAAACACTCGCGACATCACTGGTCGTTGTTCCATGGAAATTCTCACAAGTGTGATGTCACTCAGCCATCTGACCATGTCGGTTTAAAAAAAAATACTCGGTAGAATGTTTTTTTTTATTACACAAAAAATAAATTTACACTAAACTGGCCTGCGGTAACAATAAACTTTGTGTCAAGGAAGATGCAACCCAAAAAATAAGTAGCTCTTATCTTTTTAGATGAAAATCTAATCTGTGTGCCTCAGGCTTTAGAATATGAGTTTGAGCTCGGATGCCATAATGGTGTGCTTGACCGTAACGTTAAGCTTTATGATTTCATTACTGAGGCTTCAAACTCTGTCAACAACAACAGCCGCCGTTCGCCACTAAGTGCTGCTGATGTCACCATGGCGCTTGTGCCAGGCGAGGTGCACGTTGAGGCCACGTGAGGTGTGGAAGGCTCGCTGCTGGCAGCAGGTCACGGGACAGACCCAGGTGTTATGGGATGACCGAGATGACTGCCAGATGCACCAACTGTGCGCCCCACTGTGCAAACTCGCTGCGTTTTAGACGCCCGGCGCTCCGCCCGTTGTTGTGAGCGTCGCTCCTCCGCACTCCGCTGTTGGACTGCCCAGTAGCGTTCTTCACGAGCCTCCTTCAGAGGACGATCTTGACACCGCGTGTGTCAGTTTGGGACATACAAATTGCAGTTATCGTACACTGTATAGAGGACAACGCCAGATTTTTGTTTAAAGGTTGTGTCATTTCTCCAAAAAACAAAATGTTTCTTCGATGGCTTCCCAACCACCGACCCCTCCAACCTCGCCGACATTCCTGCCCCGTGGGGTCGATGACTGCACCGCGGTGGTTGAGGCGTGCGACCTTGCGGGGAGAGAGAGACGTGGTGGCGGTGGTGGTGTTGGTGAGATGACAGAAGGACGCAGGAGGGGACTGAGCTCCCAGGGAGCCCACGGTTAGTTTATTGGGCACGGGAACAAGGGGACACGGGGTGGACTCCTCGACCGACTCAGCCTGGCTCTGGTGCAGCTCCACGAGGCAATGCCCCCCACCCCCCCCACCCCCCCCCCCCCCCCCACATGCATCAGTGACGGCTGACACAAGCCTCGGTTTGGCCAAGTCCCTACCAGATGACCCCCCCCCCCCCTCCTCCCTGGAAAAGCATCGGAGGAGACGGGACCGTACGTTGTTTGCCACCCTGGCTTCAAGTAATAGATTACGCCACCATGAACGCCGGTACATTCTAGAAGAGCTTGGCAGGCAGCCGTGCCTCTCTGCGAGCTTGATGTGTCTACTGGGCAGGATGGCGCTGCAACGTGAGCCCTTGCCGTGGTCTGCAGGTCGCCGTGCTAGCCACACTGTCACTCCGCTGTTCGGGACTTCAGGTTGTGTTTTCTGCTGTGAGTGCCAGGTCATAGGTACAGCAATGCCGCGGTTTACGCCGGCGGTGCGTTACTGAAAAGGTGCGGCGACGTATATCGAAACGGCGTAAATCAAATCGATTCACGGGGGTAGCGGCGGAGGCGAAGGATGAGAGAGCGTGGGGTTGAGGCGACGCAACATCGGTCAAGCGGTGTGGATAATAAAGTGACGACGCCGCTTGCGAAACGACGTACAGGGATGGAGACGTAAATCGAGTCGTTGCTGTGCTGTATCTCGGGGGGCTTCATAGTTGGGCTCCCTCCAAGGAGACAACTCCAATGGCGGTTCGCTATTCAATCCCAGTTTTTTCTAGATTATAATTTACCAACCTGCGCGACACACTAGCATTGAAGGATATTTGATTTTTGATCTGGCTGTCTTTGCTTAGATTTCAGCTGAACAACAAACAAAACACGTGATTTTACGTCAGTCTGTGGGTTACGTTATATCTGTTGTGTTTTACTCCAGAGGGACAACACTGGGTGAGTTAGCGGTTGCGTTCACCTGTGGAACGAAGCGACTGTGTGCTATTTTAAATTACACTTTTCGCACGAGGGTGTTGTGTATGTGTGTGTGTATTTGTGTATATATGTGTGTGTGGATTCAGCAGTGGGGAGCGGTAGTGTAGCGGTTAGCGCTCAAGGCCAACAACCGTGGCGATTATATGAACCGGTCCTGGGCCTCCCCTAGGTCGACTGAGCCTCAAATGAGTACCTGGTGCAGTGCGTAAAAACATCGCCACTGGGGAGACAAAGGCGGCCGGGCGTAGTGCTGGCCACCCACACACCTTCGTGTGCCGTTCTGGCCTTCATAGGTGTTCGCAAACAGCACTTGCCCCAACAGTCTGTTGCAGGCTGTAAGGGGGATTTATGTCTTATCTTGGGATGCATCACCACCCACTGCTCAAATTCAGGTACTGCACGTTGCAAAATAACGTTGATTTCGGGTTTATAATACGACCGGGGAAATAATATCAGCCGAATCTCTTCGGGCCGCCGGCACACCACGTTCAGTATACTTATGCGTATGGCTGGAAAATTAATAGTCGGCTGCCACATCCAGTATTCTAACGACTCGGATAGTATCCATTGAGAAACGAAGTCTTGGTTTTAGCTCCACCTCTGGTAAATATGCTGAGGACCAAAGACGTGACTGGCTTCAATCACAGCTGTGAACTCTGCCTCATTCCACCTGGAATTGTGGCACGTGGCGATGCTCATCTACAGGTCTTATGCTCATTGTGTTCAGAATTTTATGTGCCTGACAGTAGTTCTGTCCTCTGATGAAATGTGATGAGAAGGGGGAATTCGTTGGTGCATGGCAGCTCGGCTTAGATTATGAAACGGACATTTCCACACGTCCAGGCATAGCTAGCTGTGCATGGTGTGAGCCTGGTTTTAATGTTGTGGCTATGCCAATCCACACTGATTCTCATGCCACATTAGTTCCCGTGTTTAGCAAGTCCGCACACGCGTGGACACTACGGGTTATTGCTATTGAGATGTGCGGCTTCCCTTCTTGCTCGTCATGGGTGAAGGGTCCCTATATTAGAGGAACGTTCAACTCGAGTGAGTGACATCGGTAACACACTGATCGATGATACATCTGGGAAACAAGTTGGACAAATACAAACTGCGTTTCCCCGTATGGGCGGGGGGGGGAGGCTGAGCATTGTGAGGGTGGCACCACTAGGTGGCGCCACAAGGTGGCGCCACAAGGTGGTGCCAAGCATGCGTCCATGAGCCTGTCCATGAGACAACAGCGATCTCTTTCCCTCGCACGAGTTCAGGGACAGGTGAACGCGTGGCCTCGTGATTGGCCGTGCTACTTATGGGCGCCCACGGCGAGATGTTTACAGGAGGTCATGGGTTCGATTCCGACCCTGGCGCCTGCTGTATATTTTAATACTCTTTGGTTCTGTATATTTTAAGTTTGCGTCTGTCTCTCTCTCCGTGGTCGCGTGGATTTTTCTCCGGGTCCTCCGGTTTCGCCCTCCACAATTGGAATCAACACGCGTTTAGAGTATTTGGCTGCTATAGATGTGTACACGTGATACGCAACTTCTTTGAGCTATAATTTGTGGCCAGGTCGCTTCGGAAAAATAACTCTATAGCTCAGTGGGCCTTACCTGGTAAAATAATAGCTTTATAATGACCCTTCTCCCTGGATTATAAGATGCATTCCCCCAGCCCCTTATTTTAAATAAAAAGTTGGGGGTGCGGCGTATAACGTGGTAGCTGTGTGTGTGTGTGTTCCAACCAGACTTGCATACATTTATTGACAGCGGACAGAAGTTTGAGATGCGTTTTTTTTTATCTGAAAATGTGTATAAATTTGTAGAATACGGTACTGGGGGTTCGTAACACATCCGCATTGCGATAACGAGCATGCGAAGTCTGATGCTGCTCGATTGAATGAGCTGTGTGTAAAGGCTAACATATGGGGGGCATCAGTGTAGGAACGTATTGGTGGTACACGGATGGTGCGCGGTATTAAAACAGCAAATTTTTCTAAATTATTTATTTTGCCGCGATTCGCAACCCCAGGTCAGAAAATCTTGCATCAAAATCAGTTCTCGTGATGTCGAAGCAGTCAGAAGACGAAGTTCGGTTCAAATGTTGATTTTAGACTGTTTCGTGAAGATCGCTGAGTTATGCTGCACCGGTGTACTGCCAATACATCCATTTGTTACGTTCTTAGTGGTCACATTGCCCCATCAGCAAGTTAGCTCCTTCACACCATGAACTTTAAAATCACCTCAGTCTAATTTTTGGAAAATATATTTGACGTTATAATAAATTACAAGGGGCACCACGGTGGTGAGATGTTAACTGCCTTGCCTGGTATGCAGGAGATCGTGGGTTAATTCCCGACCCTCTCACCTGTACAGTTGGAGTTTGCGTGCTCTCCCCGCGGTCGCGTGGATTTTTCTCGGGGCCCTCCAGTTTTTCTCTCCACATTTAGAAACGTGCCTTAAGAGTATTTGGCTGCTATAAATTTCCACGTGATAAGCCACTTTGTTGAGCTATCATTTGTGGCCAGGTCGCTTCTGGAAAAGAGCTACAGTATGTAGCTCAGTGGGCCTTACCCTGGTAAAATAAAAAATAACAAACAATAATTATTTAAAAAATTGCTTATATTATGATATAGTCATCTATATTAGCTTATTACATTACTTTTATGAAAACCAATACATGCTGGACAGCTATAGCATGCGTACCAGATCATACCAGGGAACAATAGTTTATACTTCACTACAAGTGTGTGTTTTAGCTGTGCTTTTTCGGGGAAAATATATATGTATTTGTTTAGACGGCATGTATACATTAGTGTATATATAAAAAATGTTTACATGAGAACTGTACAACCAGTGTTTTCCATATCATTGAGACAAGGGTCTTAGATACATCACTAAATGCCTTAGCTAAGGGCTGCACAGATAAAAGAACGATTTAACATGTTTTTCCGCAATAGGAATATATTTTTTTTAAGTATTTGAGATTACAGAAAATTCAAAATAATTTTACGCGTATATAAATGTGCCGTCCCGTTGTTCTACATTCGAATTCTTCAGTCAGGTTAATAACGCGACAGGCAAATGGTATTTTGTGTTGGCTGCCATCACGCACAGTTCTATAAAAGCCCAGGCCGCATCGTTGCGTTTGCTTGAATGTGTCGCGGTGTTGGTCCTGACTCTGGTGATGCTGATGACCTTGACCTGTACCTGGTCTCATCCCTCCCCGCCCGCCCACTGCAGTAAATCTAAGCAGGGCAAGCGCTCCGCCATCAAGGGCTTCAGGTACCGCCTCCTCCTCACTGACCTGAGCTGTGTGCATTGTGAGCCTTGATGCAGCGCTGCAGGAATGGGCGAACAAAACCCCTCTTAATTATCATGGTTGGTTATGTACGGTGCGAAAGAAGTTAATGGATACAGAGCGCTGCATTTAAACAAAACCGTTTCAACCTTGCAAAAAAACCTTAGATTAAAAAATAAACTATGAATTACCCCAGCAGTCCTTAGCCAGAATGTGGTGTGTGTATGTTTAACTTCGTTTGCACCGTACGTAACCAACCGTGATAATCGGAGGTGCAGGGAAATGTTGTCATTAAGGACGACACAGGGCAATGGGGCAAAACCTATAACAATTTCAGTCAAACAAATGAGTTCACGTTTTTTGTTCTGTTTAACTCTTCCAAAAACAGTGCCACCCTGATTCCCACTGCAGCATAGAGACACTGACCTGGATAACTTAATTAATCTCCCAAGCCTCAAGGCTACGTTTTTACGCTTACATTGGGACGAGAATAATAGAGTTCAAAGGCTTTCGAAATAGGGGAGATTATGCAAAATTATGGCAGATAATGTATTCTCCATAATTGAAACGATAAAACACTCATCGTAAGTTTATCCATGTGATCTGTCAGCTACCGGGCAGTCTAGTAGGTTGGTTGTTGGAACTCTCGTATACACGTCCGGGTCAGATGTAAACACATGAGGCATAGCGCTGTGCATATGTGTAAACACTGGGGTTGTTAAACTACCGGCAATCTGGTAACCGTTCTTTTTTAAATTACCGGTTCCTTAAGTCAGGAACCGGCAGTCATTTTGCTATGGAATGTGAGGAGTGAAATTGACACGGGCGGACGTACAAACGGCATGGCATGCGCGACTCTGACTGGCTGCGGCATGCCAGGGGCCGGCAACCAAAATAACAAGAACAGCCATTTTTTCAGAATTCGGTAAGAAACACAATATTTCAAGAGCCGCAATGCATCTGAATACGAGACGGTTGTTAATAAATTACTTCACGAAGCAGTCCGCCTCTGGAGCCGCAGGTTTCCAACCCCTGAGCTACGCCTACCACTGCCGAATTGACTTTGTGTGATCCGTCCGTCTTGTAAAAACCTCGAAAAAACGGTTGCCAGATTGCCGCACATATGATTCGATTCAATCTCTCGGTGAGGCAGTTTAAGAATGGGCCAAGTTTTTACTGGTAGGAACGAAGTTGTAAACTGAGTGTACCAGCCTGCAATAGATTAATGTGTCCGTCCGTCCGTCCCCTTTCAATACTTTAACGAAGTGAAATCTCGTGCTGTTGGGGTGTAAAAATAAAATTGCACAAAATTCCAATGTTCCTACCAGCCCACCCTGCAGGGACCTGTTTACCTAATTCTGCTTCTGTTCACCAATCAATAGAATGGGTGAGTCCATTGGCAGATTTCGTGGGGGTGGGGTAAAGCGTGGAGAATGCACACCTCTTCCAACACGTCTGGTCAATATGGCAGAGTACAACAAATATCTCCCAGAGCTGCCTCCAGTGGTAGCCAACTTATTCCAAAGCATTATTGAGTTCAGAGTTCACGAGTCAAGAGCCGCATGGCTCACCAAATAAATGAAACTTGAAACTTGAGTTCCGACCACATCACGGCTTTGTCCCTTTGTGCCTTGGGAACATCGGGCATCCATGTCGAGATGAAGTCAATTAAAGCGTTGGCACGGTTCACAACAGCCGAGATATCCGTGGCCTTCAGGAGAGATCTCAAAGAAGCCGCGGTCGCACGAAAGTTATATTGCCGTGGACCATAATTTTAGCGGGCAGCATTTCGCTGTGCACATGAATGAGTTGGTATTTTCAGGATAGAATACAGGATAGCCCTGTGGAAATTTGCTACATTTCTAACTTTTAACCATGCCCTTGGTGACCTAAATATTACGAAAGCATGTACAGTCTCGGGGAATTTCAAATTTGCTGAGTCCAACTGTTAGCATTTTGAAAACTAACTTCAGTTTAAGAGTCAGGTGTACGATGGACATATGGTAAATTTCTATAGATGTCTACTGTCATCGAGACATCGTTTCAGGGCAATTTATTTATCCCTTCATATAGGGATAAGTAGAGTAATTATATGGCTGCTTCCAAATATTGAGCATTTTAGCCAGTCGGGCTGGGTTAAGAACATTTGGTGCCTTGGGGTGTTTGAATTCAAAGGCTAAACAAAATACAACTTGTCTTTTGATGGTTAGGTACTGTTATCACACGAGTGGCAAAGTACGGTACTGCGTTTTAAATGTTTATGGTGTTTTTTTACATGTGTGTGTGTGATTATTTTGTGTCAATTTGCCTTGGATTAGATTTAGTTTTATCATCATATCTTATATGACGGTGTGAACTATTTTCATAAGTTTACTTTCATTGTTTTTGTTCCGCTGGGCTATCTTCACGTCACGTTCACTCCTTTTCGACGACTGCAACACAAAAGCATCTGCTACGTGTGTGAAGCGGTCGCTTGAATATTGCCACCTCTAAGGAGATGCGTACCCGACGCGAGCGCTAAACTGAACATTGTGGTGGTGGGGGAGGGAGGGGAGGGGGGCAGATGGCACGATGAGACCTATATAGGCTTCCGCTCGTCACCTCTCTGTGCGCGCAGTCCGCCACAAGTGAGCGCACCTTCCTTCTGTTGTTACCGTGCTGCCCCGGGTCATTGCGTCGGTCAGTGGACCCACTTGACTCGTGGCTTTGTTTGCAGCAATCAGTTCGTCTTTGACCCTTTGGTTGCAGCAAAGGAACCGAAGGTGCGAAGGCCAAGGAGGCGAAAGACAAAGGAGGAAAGGCAGACAAGTACGTTCAGCAGACGCGTGCGTTCAGTCGTTTTTGTTTTGTTTGTGTGTGTGCACGAGGCGTCCGCGTTTTGCTGCTTTTAAAGGTGCACACCGCTGCACGCATATATATTTAATATTACGTTCGCAATTCCTTTAATCGTAATTGTAAGAACTTCATTTTGTATAAATAACATGCACAATTAAGCCTTTATGTGGTAAACAAGGTGACAGGAGTTCTACGTGCCAATATGTTTATCGTGAGTAACCAATGTTACATCAGACACTGAAATAAAATTAGATTATTTCAAAAAAAAAATTTTACTCAGCTTAAATTGGCAACCAATACTTTCAAAGGATGACAAAGCAATGATCAGTTTACATTAAGGCATATTTATTTGTACTGCGTGATAATATATTTTTGTAAAAAAAAACAACCCCCCACCTATTTTATACTGACAACGAACAGTTTGACCAATGATAGCTAGCTAACGTAGCCCGTCGTGCCGGCGGTATGCTGTTCCCACGAACACCGCAGGTCGCTAGCCCCCCAGCTTGTCAAGAGGCCTCGTTGATAACACCCCCCCCCCCGCTCCGTGAATAATTCATCGCAACTCGAACGGGGCAAGCGCCGCATCCTTTGAGTGTCACCCGCGCCTGTCAGGGGGAAACAATGCTGCCCGGGGACTCAATCTTTTGGGGGATTTTTTTTTGTCTGTCGCCCGCTCCACTGCTCCGGGACTGTGCCCCGTTGAAATTTTGCCGCGTTTCACGTTGCAGCCGCACTCATTAAAACATGAAGGAAATGTTACCCCCCCCCCGACCTCCCCCCACTTCCACCACCACCACCACCACCCCCCCCCTCCACACCGCCGACTCCCACCTAGCCGGCCACCCGCTCCCTCCAGCCCCCTCTTCTCGTGGCGGGGCCGACGCCACTGCTACTGCAGGAGCGCCGGCACTCGGCCGTGTTCACGTTAACTATTCGCATGCGTTACCTAATTATTGGGCTGTTTGATGAATTAAAAAAAAACAGACGCACGCACGCGCTGCGGCCGGCCTTTGAATTAAATAACAAAGTCAGGCATGCTTTGGTGAACTATATGTCAGAATATAACAGTGGTTGTCAGGCTCACCGGTGCTGGCTTTGCGGTGGTGTCAAATGTCCCGGACTGTTCAGCACTCCAGCTTGAGTTTCAGTGCAGGGCTGGCTAAAGACTATGCACGCACGCCCGCTACCGCTTTTACCTTTCATTTGCTGCACAATCGCAGCGAGAAGCGGCGTTTTGAAGTCCAATCCTCCGGGGCGTATATGTTAATTTGCAGGGGATTCCTTACGCAGGTAACTATTTGTGGCACTGTCATTGTATTTTTATTGAATAACCCGTCGTGTGTGCTTTGGAAATCGCGTTGTGCATGCCCGTTTGTTCGTGCGCGTCAAAGGGAGTTTTGCAGACGCTAATATACGTTCTAGATTCATGTGATTCTATTTTCAATTTAACGTTTTCAATTCAGTGTCTTAATAGATAAAAGCACATCAAGATAAAGTATTTGTGTTTTATGTGAAGTACAAATGTTAACAATGGAAACCTTTGACTCGCCTTTAGCAATCCCATTACATGGCTCGTTAAGGATTTTACATTTTGAAAAGTGAACAATCATATCGCAACGGTTTGTATTCAGGGCTGGCGTCAAATCAGTCTTTTCTGGAATAAAGCTGGTCAAAACAAAGTCTCCAAAGGACCAGAACTCATCCGGTGGAAACAAGAACTCAAGTGGTAAGAGATGTGGCAGGCGGATTGATAGCCGAACTCGATAGGGGACTTTCTTTTGCGGCGCTGTGTGGCTCGGAGCAGGCTAAACGAAGCGCTCTCAGCCGCAATTCCACTCGCTCGGGTGCAACGACACTGTACAGCAATGACGAGGAGCTGTCATCAGCGATGATGAGGTGCTGTCATCAGCAATGATGAGGAGCTGTCATCAGCAATGATGAGGTGTTGTCATCAGCGATGATGAGGCGTTGTCATCAGCGATGATGAGGCGCTGTCATCAGCAATGATGAGGTGTTGTCATCAGCAATGATGAGGTGTTGTCATAAGCGATTATGAGGCGCTGTCATTGCTGGTGAACTATTCAGTAATGTTGCTTCAATGAGAGTGTAAATGGGAATTGGCGGTGCATTTATGAAGAAATTATCTTGCGTCATTTCACGAAAAAAAATTTTCCGAACAGGAGTATAATTTTTCATTCTGAATTTTGTTTGTTTTCTCCTCATAAATATGTGACTGGTTTTTAGTTTTGTATTTACGATGTCAGTTTTACTCATGTCTAAGTTTACTATGACAGGAGTTGAAAAATAAACTGCATTGTGCTCCTTCTCAAATGTTGGAAGGAACTCATAATTGGTGAACATAGGACCAGTACAACCATAGAACAACCACTCTTTGACTTCCCGCAAAGTGGTGTTCATTTTAATCGACGCCAAAATGGACGATTGGCTCTGTTGGACTGACTGCAAGCCAGGCGTTCTGCCAACAGTGCCACCCGATCAGGGACTACTGGACTCGTCCAGTTGATTACATACAAATTGAGACCGCAAAGTGGTGGCGAATATATATAAGCCAGTGATTTGTAGGAAATTTGGGGGGTGGTGAGGGGCGTAAGACTTGATATGTACCCGACATGTCCTGCTAGGCATTGGAATTCCTACAGGGGGCAGTACAGCACGAGGTTTTATCTTGTCACTAGAATTATAAATGTTGTGGGTTCATTCTCAAACACACTGGTTAGTGCTGAACTAGTAACGAATGGGCACGTTTTGTTTAGCTGACAAACCTCACTAATTGGCTGTGTCGGATTGTGGCGGGGTTTAACGACGCAATTATATTTACGTGATCTAACCCAAAAAAAAAACTTCTGATGGATAATTATCTTCGTCTGTTCAGAGTTTAAATTCTCCGCCCATTGGCATGGCCTCCTCATAGCTCCCCGGCATTACAAACAAAGAGAATCAAGATTTTCTGAGAGAATATTCATCCGTTTATTTTGCACGTTGTTTTTTTGTGATCGTATTATTATGATACACTCAAATGTGTTATTCCTTTCATGTTGCATCCTAATTAATGGAGGGTATAACTCTTCCATCTTGCTGAAGGCATCTATAATCTAATAGAGCAACCTTCGTAATCTGTATAAGTGGGTGGGGGGGGGGGGGTGAAATTTATGCGTTAATATTATTGTTGCATTTTAATTGCACCCCGAAGTTTTAAATAAGAATCGTGGATAATTTACTGCAATTGGTCTCTTGCAAAGTAAACCTGTCTCAATGAGCTCTCATCTGATTATGATGTTATCTATCCATGGGGTAAAACCTATTTGTATTTCTTCGTCATGTTGTGTGTGTGTGTATATACTTTATATGCATGTAGCTGGCATGAACTAACACGTGTACAAACTGACCCAACAGATGAACCTGCTGTCATAGACACCGACCACAGGCCCAAGTCTGGAAGGGGGAAAGATTTCGATACTATGTCAATGGCCTCCATCACTGCCGTCACCACCAATGTGTCGAACAAACGGTGAGACGCGGCCCGATATGGAGGGGGGCGGGCGAGCGAGGGCGCCAGTCGCACGGGCATGGGGAGGGCTGCCCACACTTCTCTGGACCCTGAAGGACCCCCCCCCACCCACCACCACCACCTTGCATCGTGGTCAAGGCCCAGCGCTGTAATCAGGGGTGCAACTACTTGTTGCAATTGGGGCTATGCAAGATCCGACTCTCATTCCCCCTCCTTTCTCTGTCTTTTTTTCTGAAATAACTACGGATTGTTTACCTGTATACAATGCAATGTAGGCTATAACTATATATGTTATTTTAGTCGCACCGTGTATTGGGCTTAGAGGAAGGCAGTCTCACAGTAACAAGATTCATTCAAACAGATTTAGAGGTACAATACTCACATTTAAGTTATCGTGCGTCTTACTTTCATGTCGGCCGATCGGTCTGAAATTTCCTCAAAGGGCGTGGATCGTGAAACTTTGCTGCTGTTCTATTGATATGATAGCCAGATGCGTTAATCGGGGTTGGTCCATGGTAGACAGCAGGTAATTTTTCATGATTTTTGTATCTAATACATTTTAATGTTGTCACTTGTTTATCTGTTGATTCTGGGTCCCCTTGTGGCCGACTGGGACCCTATGTGTCGCATAACGCTGCAACCCGCCCCCCCCCCCCCATATTTGCACCTCTGGATGTTTTACGATAACATCGGACAGCCGACGAAATCAGCGATCAGAGAGATCTACCCATAGCTAATATCTCCACGATCAGTGATTCCGTCGCAGTCCATTTTTTATCACATTAGAACGCCAGCCCCCCATCTGTTAAGTTCTTAGCCCCTCATTATTTGTAGCGTTGACATTTCCAAATTTTTGTTTTTAACAATGTGCATATCCTGGGCAGTGCCCGGACTGCCCACTGCTGAGGATTTTATAGCAAACGGTGGCAAAAATTGCCTGTTGCTGTTTCCACACCTAGGAAAGAACAGGACCAAAGAGATAGTAGACTATCAGCATTTTGAATAAATGTCCATTTTAGTTTATGCATACAAAGCACTTCGCAAAAAAAGTGGGCAGCGATGAGTTGAAATCGCCGTAGTTTCAGCGAGCTTTCTTTTCATCCCAGTTGCCGCCCCACGTTTAGTTCGGAGTGCAAATCTATTCTGTCGCATGATGTGTTCAAAAGCTGAATGTCCAATGTCGAGGTCGGCTAGCCACCATGAGAGGGCTTCAGGGTAACATTTTGTGTAGTCTATCCTGAAGCCCCGTTCCTCCGTTGAAGGAGTGCGGTCTGCAGTGTCGTACGTGGTCCATAGTTTGGGTTTCATGGCCACAATCGCACCACTGTGGCATGTATTTAATGCACAGGCATCCCTCGATTTACAAAAGGGATGTGTTCGAAAAAAACACGTCAAACAAAATTTCTTCAATCGGAACGGCTTTTTCGATTAATGTAATACTAAACATGAGGGATGTGTTTCAGCCAGTCATTCAAACTCTACTCATAACCTAGAAATATACACCTATATCCCTTTTCACAATGCAAACCTAATAATAAAGAACAAATATTAAAACGATTGAATAATAATTCATTTAAAACAAAAATGATTAACCTTTGAAGGGAACTCACCAAAAGGTCTGCTGCATGTTGGAATGATGTGGAGGCGTTGCTGCTGCACTGCAGGACACCGTAACGCTGTCGCTGATGATTTCAGTTTCTATATTTTGGTATAGCCCTGTGAGCCATTTGGCTATTGAATCGGGTGTAACCACAACAACAAAAAAAACACGAACAAGAAAACATCTTAAGTGGCTATGTGACTGTGCAAACAGAAAATCCATGAAAAAGAAAGCAAAAATATTCCTGAAAAAAGCACCGTACACCAACGCTGTGTGCAAAAAATCCCAGTGGAATGCAAGTCAAATAACAACAATAACCACACGAAAACTTAGATTAAGGCCATCAGTCTAACTCCGTACTACAACAAAACAAACATGTCCAAACCAAAAAACGTTTTCGAAATCATCAAAAAATAAAGCCATAATTGCAACGTAACAGTAATCACAGGGACTGTGACCGAATTGTTACAATAAACTACATAAATAACATGTAACACCAAATCCTAGAGCCATAGCTGGCTCCATGAGTTACTCCACAACAACAGAAGCATCAGTCGGAGTATCACATTTTTCAATGCACCTTTAAGATCAGCACGCTAAATCAAAATACAGATAATACTTTGCAGCATCATCCAGAGCGAAACATTTTATTTGATTTTACGCCAATGAATAGCAGTGGCAGCTAGGGGTGTACAACTCCTCCAGAGCAGTTTTGATAGAAGATCTCATTGGTAGCGATTCAAGTTGCAGTTTATTGGCAATAGCATTCCAGACCCTGGGGGCATCAATAGCAAAGGCCCTTCCTCCAGTTTTTGTACGGCAATAGGGAATGTGAAGCTGGTAAATGAGCGAAGACCTGAGGTCAAATTTGTTCTTTGAAACAGAGAGGAGATCCAGCAGGTAGTCTGCGGATTTTTTTGTAAGTACATCGTGATTAAATAAGATCTGGTGCACAAGCCGTCGAACATTAAGAGATGTTAAGTTTGACCCAATGTTGAGATTACAGTGGTGAGTCCTATATGGGCAGTTCAATTTAAATCTTAAGGCCAAGTGATAGATGGAATCAAGCTTCTTCAGTACAGTACTTGGGGCTGATTTATACACGATGTCACAGTAGTCAAGTAGAGGCAGTATGGTAGCTTTTATCAATTCAAAACGGAACATTGGGGGGAAGCAGTGCTTGTGTCAATACAGAAAACCAATTTTTATTTTTGTCTTTTTACCAATATAATCAATGTAATCTTCAAAATTCAGTTTTGAATCCAGGATGACCCCAAGATACTTATAGATCTTGACTTGCTCTATTTGATCATTATTTAAGGAATGTAATTGGGGAAAAATTACTTCCTGCTTTAGTCCTGGTGAGAAGCATAGCACCTTGGTTTTGGAGGTATTCAGGACTAGTTTAAGAGCAACTAGCTGATGTTGTAGTTTGTTGAAATCACCCTGTAGCTTAGCAATCACGTCATCCGGAGAGCGGCCAGCAGTAATCAGTATCGTGTCATCTGCAAAAAGATTTACCCTGGAATGATCCAGGTCAGTGCCCAAGTCATTGACAAAGAGAGAACAAAAGGGGGCCGAGGATGGAACCCTGTGGAACCCCTTTTATCTTAACACTGTTTGACCTCCAACCATCTGTGAATACATTTTGGGTGCGAGAAAAAAGGTAATTTTGTAACCATTTGACTGCGTTTTCAGAAAAACCGAGGCAACTTAGTTTACTAAGCAGGGTGTTGTGGTCTACTGTATCAGAAGCTTTGGACAGGTCTGGAAAAAGACAGACACAGTACTGCTTATTATCAAGGCTACTGTAAATGTGATTCAGAGAGTCTAATGCAGCAGATGTGGTGCTGTATTTTTTTCAGAACCCAGATTGTTTTAGATGTAGTAGATTGTTGGTGGACAGGAAACTGCTAATTTGGTAGGTCAATACTTTTTCAAAAAATTTCATCAACGGAGACAAAATTGAGATAGGTCGGTAGTTATTTGGATCATCTTTAGGGCCCCCTTTGTGAAGTGGACAGACAGGAATGTTTCCATTCTAGAGGAACTGATGCTTTTTTGATGGACAGGTTGAAAATATGGGCTATAGGTTTGTATATTAGGTGACCAACAGTTACTATTGCAAAGACGGGAATACTATCTGCTCCGGTAGAGGAGGACCCTTTGAGGTAGGACAGTTGTTTCAGAACATTACTTTCGTGGATTGGCTGGAAACTAAATTTGTTTAATGTTTGGACAGGGGTGTAGGAATTTGCATGAGCAGGGGTGACTCCCAATACATTATCAAAAAGATTACCAGCTTCAGAAAAATGAAGGTTAAAATTGTCAACAATTTTTTTGGGATCTGAAAAATATTCCCCATTTCGGTTAAGCTCAACGGGCAGATTGTCTGTTTTGGATGCCTTTTCGATACATTTGATTGTTTTCCAGAAAATACTGGCATTTCCATGTGATTCCAGGAGAGTGGAGGAAAAGTAGGCATTTTTTGCATGCCGTATTTTTTTGACGCATCTATTCCTTAAAATCCTGTATTCTAGCCAGTCATTGACCAAATTACTTTTCTGAGCACATGCCCAAGCCTTGTCCATAGTTTTCATGAGCTTTGTAATCAAAGGATCAAACCATGGTGGGCGGTTGCCTTTAGTTTTAAATCTAACCAACGGAGCATGTTTGTTAAGAATTTGGAGAAACGTGTACCTGAAGGTCTCCCAAGCCGTAGTCAGGTTGGGGATATCACAGACCTTGTCAATATCCGAGTGAAGCACATCATTAGTAAATACCTGAGTGCTGAAATGTCTCATAGAGTGCTTCTCAACCAATTAAGGGGGGGCTTTGGGTCTGGCTGATGATCTCACCACAAAAATTAAGGAGTGATCACTAAGGTTATTACCCAGAACACCAGTCAGTGTGAAATTGTGAGGGGCATTTGTCAATAGGACGTCAAGCAGAGATGACTGTCCCGGATTTTTTAGGTTGGGTCTTGTGGGGACATTTATTAATTGAAACAGATTAAATTAATCTGCAAAATTTGTGGCCACGGCCAGAAGGTTAAGCCAATTCCAATTTAGATCACCCACTAAAAAAAAAGCTCTCTCAGTGCAGATGCAGCTTCAACATCCTTCCCACTAGGCGGTCGATAGCAGCACACTACCAATATCTGTTGATTATTTGAGAGTTATTCTGAGAGCCAGACCTTCAAAGCAACATTTTTTTAAACAAGGAGTGAGCTAGTGAACATGCAATAGTATTACGAACATAGATGGCAATTCCACCTCCTTTAGATCCTCGGTCAAGCCGAAAAAGGTTGTAGTTGTCAATCGCAATCTGCAAGTCATTGACGGTAGGAGTGAGAAATGTTTCTGTTAGGCAAAACATGTCCGGGTCAAGATTTGCCACT